CAGGTTTCAATAGTAGACATGTTATGGGCTGTACCTTTATAGTGACAATTTTACTTCCACCACTTCCACCTAAAGTCCATAGTTGAACCTAGGGCCTCCTGAATAGAGTACCTCGAAAGGCGACAGTGGCAACAGCTGCCACGCTTGGCCAGCGGGTTGGCAACCGCAGGTTTTTATCTGTAGTCGTTATTAGGAAGACGCTACAGCTCATCTCCTGATTTTTTTCGCTCTGTCGCCTGTTACGACTCGAATATATACAATAGTGAATATTCCCAGCAAACATTTTTGTCATATAATAAAACATTTTTAAGACATTGAGTCTTTTTAAAGTTATTTCACAGTATTTTCTTTTTACTCTTCGTCACATACTGGTGCATTATACGTCCGAATAGTCATATACATTTTTTGTCGTATAATAATGCCATGTAATCGTTCTTTCGACATTTTTTACAATCGTCATATAATAGCGTCTACGACGACGTCTATAAAACTTACTTATACAACTTTTCGTCGAGTAAACCTTTTCGTAATATAAACGTGATAATACTGTCAATTTTGTCTTATAATTACCTTTTAAACATCTGCTAAACGGATAATAATTTTTTACACGTAGTATTTGTAACCATTATATACATGTCGAATAAGTATTACGAGTGCTACCTGTATACATCCTTGAGTATCTCAAACATGGTAATACGACCGCCATTTAACTAATACTCATATTAAAGATTTATAATAACCTTATTTATTTATTTAAAATCTTAAACGTAACACCTTAAGCTAAAGGGGTACATAGGGCGGACTTAATGTCATGTGGCATTCTCTGCCAGGCAACCCTGGGTGCCAAGGACAATTGTTGGCAGGTGCGACCATTATACGTAAATAATTACATTAAAATATATACATACATTAAAATATACATATATGCAAAGTACATACATACACATTACAATTAAGTATATATACACATATAGTATAAATATACATACAATAATACATACATACTATATATATATATATATATATATATATATATATATATATATATATATATATATATATAATATATATACATGCTTATAAACTTCGTAAATAAATATACAAATGAATGATATATATAATATGATGTTTGAATAATATATAATGAAATAAATATCTGAAGTAAAAAAGAAGAAATAAAGACAAAAATTAAGGAAAATAATGTTAATTAGTAGTTTCCTTCAGGTAATGTTCTCGGAGAAGAACTTTGAAGACTTTTTTATTTGCGGCATTCTTAATATCGTTGGGGAGGGTGTTCCAAAGTTGTATGGCTTGTATCGTAAAAGACGACCTAAAAAAATTTGACTTATGCTGTGGTAACCTTAACCTCAGACGGTTTGACTGTCGGGATGTTCGACCGTCGATCGGATAAAAAAAATGAAAATTATCCTTAAGATAAGAGGGCGACCTTGGATCGTTTAAAATTGAATAAAGTACAAGTAAAATTCTAGAGCATCGCCTTTGACGTATAGGTAGCCATTTAAGCTTTGAACGATAGGATGATATGTGGTCATACTTACGTAAACCAAAAATAAATCTTATGGAATTATTAAGAAGGCGCTTCAACTTGTTTAGAAGATTTTCTGATAGATCTGGGTAACATACATCGGCATAGTCGATAATAGGTAGAATAAGGGAATGAACCAGCGTAAGTTTGGTTTTGAAAGGTAGGAAATTTTTAAGACGATAAAGGGAACGCAAGGTAGCAACAACTTTACGACTAACTTCAGAGGTCTGCAATTTCCAGGTCATAGTTTTATCCATGTACAGGCCAAGATTTTTTATGGAATCACAATATGGAATCAAAATTCCATTATAAAATACAGGAGAGAGATTTCCATAATCAACCTTAGCCAATAATTGCGAACTTCCGAATATGATAACTTTGCATTTGGCAGGATTAACAGAAACGCCATATTTACATGACCATTCTCTTATGGCTTCCAGGTTATCATTTAGTTTGTGTATTACAAAGTTAAGATTATTTAAGCTTGACTGTACATAAAACTGGAGATCATCCGCATACAGATGGTACGAGCAATCTAAAACTGAGGAGATAGAATTTATAAATAAGGAAAACATAATAGGAGAAAGTATTCCGCCTTGCGGCACACCAGATTCAATTTCAGCCCATGCAGAAAACCGCTGACCTGAGCGAACCGATTGCTGGCGACCGCGAATATAAGAAGAAAACCATTCCAAGGCTGGGGATGAAAATTTAAGATGTTTAAGGATGGATAGGAGGATACCATGATCCACTGTGTTGAAAGCGTTTGAAAAGTCAATAAGCACCACCACTGTTAATTTTTGCTCATCTAAGCCCTTTCTTATATCGTCTGTGACTTTGATAAGCGAAGTGGTAGTACTGTGACCTGAGCGAAACCCCGATTGAAATTCATTCAGCAGGTTATGTTTTGCAGCGAATACAGATATTTGCTTAAAAACACAGGCTTCCAGAACTTTAGAGAGGTATGGGAGAATTGAAATAGGACGAAAATGGTTAGGGAAAACAGGATTAGGTATTTTAGGAAGAGGTTTTTACAAAAGCCTTTTTCCATGCAGAAGGGTATTGACCTGAGTCCAGAGAATAATTTATAATGTGTGTTATAGCTGGAATAAGGTACTCAAGAATCATAGACACCATTTGCTTACTAATTTCATCAAAACCCACAGCCTTGGATTTAATGGCTAACAGAGCTTTTTTAATTTCATCCTGAGTAACAGGGGAGAAACAAAAGTCAGGGATCCGGAGAGGCTGCATTGATTCTATAGAAGCAATAGTTTGAGAACGGACTTGAGGGTCCAATGAAGAAATAGAAACAAAGTGACGATTAATGTCATCCAAATTGAGAGAAGCGCCATATTCCGGAGAATTAGATTTATTAATTCCGATAGACTTCAGGAATTTCCACAAATCAGTGGGCGAAGAATTAGTTATTTTGTCATGAATGTAGCGGCGTTTAGCATTTCGTACCACCTGATTGAATCTGTTTCTTAGAGTTTTAAAGTTAGACCAATTTTTTTCTGAGCGATTCTTTTTAAGCTTCTGGAAAGCCCGATCTCGTCGTGCCATTGCCACTTGTACCCCTTTATTCATCCAGGGAGCAGGAGGACGCTTAACTTTTACATAATGTACCGGAGCTTGCTACATATTTATTTAAACTCTATAAAAAAAGGACTGAATAAAGTAAACTTAATTATTTTAAAGAATCGTCATTATTTTTTGGTCACAACGTGGCGTACCTTTTTTTTTCGTTGCTTGGATCCGATTGTGCCCCTTGATAGCGTGAGACCACTTCTTGTTGGCGACTACATTTAGATGTACTTGGTTGTGATACACCAGAGAGATTACCTGTGCTATCTTCGGTTTTGGGAGGTGATGTATTTGAAAGAGGAGAACACCCTGGCGAGTACTTCGTGACAAGATTATTGAAGTCTTACTCTGAAGTTACTTTTGCCCGACTACTATCAGGCAGTTTAATATAGACTGTGCCATCAAGCGTCCACACATTCCTCATGCCAAAGTACTTCCTGGCCTGCTTGTGAATATTTTGTCGCGCCTTTGTGAGGAACTCAAACAATGTGAAAGACGTACCTTTTAACTTAGCCTTAGACTTCCAAACTAATGATTTTGTATGGTGATCATGGAACTGGACGAGGACCGCTCTAACTTGATCTTTACCTTGTGAGCCCAATCTGCGACACCGTTTGATCGAGGTTCTGCTCACATCAGAAAGGCCCATTTTGCTATGTATTAAGCTTAGAACCTTATCAATTAAGCTTACTTCAGAGTCCTCGGGGATGCCATTGAATAGCAATACATTTTGCCATTGCCGCATGTCAAGTCCATCAATTGTGTTTATACAACTTCTAACTTGCAGTTGCAGTAGACTAAACATTTGTGTGACCATATCCTTTAATGCATAAAATTCCTGACTCAGCTGCACTAACGTTGGATTGGATGGGACCAGTGCAGCCTTCAAACGATCTTCGAATTCTGCCATCTTTTGCATCCAGCTGACTTCCAGTTCTTTCTGTATTTTGTCTACATTATTGATGCTTGCCATATTGTAATCGTAATGTAACAATGCTTAATGGTGGTAAGTACACGTGTTGCTGATGGGTGATGCAGTAAGTTATTAAAAGCTTGTTTACATAGATAAATTATTATTTTAGTACATTAAGATCTCTTTTCTCAATATAATTTTCGTATAATTTACACTTATCTATTGTGGAAATTAATAAAATTTGAAATTATAAATAGGAGCACTTTAAACAGCTGTTGACTGTAGCACCTACCCGCAGAAAAAAAAAGAAAAAAAAAAGAAAAAAAAAACAGTATATTTTTAACATCTCAGTAAGTTTTTAACATCTCATTAGTAACATCTCAGTTCAGTTCAGTTTTAGTTTTAGCAAATTAATCTATATACTAATACGTGAAAGAAAACTGTGTACCACTTTCTAAAAAAATTTAGGCACGAAGGAGTGTTAGATTTGGCAATGGCCCAAGGTAAACTGAAATGTAGACCAGCGATCCACTCCTTCGTCTCACGGGTGATTTCTGGATGTCGACAACAGCGCCATCTGCCGGGTCTTATTGTGAATCTAATCCATCAACCAGTGAATCCACTCAAAAAACACATACAAAAATTTAATCAAAATCGGTCCAGTCTGTATAAATACTAGCTTGCACCCGTGTCTCATGCTACAATCATAATAAAGCCGCAGCGTGGTTCTACCACATACATATAAAATATATGTTATATGTGTCTTTATATGCTATGTATTACATATATAATATGTTTGAATGACTTAAAACAAAGGAAGTTCATAATTGCAATTTATTCGATTCAATAGTTTTTTTCGACCTGTGGTCTGTTTTTCTCATGCATCTTGTAAAATATACAACATATCAAGCTAAATATAAAAGCGAGACGTAGTTTTCTTAATTATAAAAGTGTTTATGAGTTTAACATGTATTTTGGAATTGCATTCAAGAATTGAGTACCATATCCGCAAATGCAAAACTTCCCCTTGACTCCCGGAAAAGGATCAACCGAAATTCCTGAAATCTGATCGCCTTGACCAGCTCCGGAAAATGCGGTGCCAGTAACAGCGTCAGCCACAGGGCTGGTCCCAGTGCCAGCAGATTCAGTACCAGCCACAGTGCTAGTCCCGCAGCCTGTCCCTTGACTTCTTTGTGTTACTTTTCCACCGTCGCTGCTTTGTCCAGTCGGGTAGGTAGCCGCATTGTGAGCGGTAGCTTGAGCCGCGGCGGAAGATTTGTTGCCAGCCCCACTGCTAGTCGCAGAGCCTGCTGCTTGACTGCCTTGTGTTACTTTTCCACCGTCGCTGCTTTGTCCAGTCGGGTAGGTATTCGCGGTGTGAGCAATAGCATGAGCTGCGGCGGAAGAATTGATGCCAGCCGCACTGCTAGTCGCAGAACCTGCTCCTTGACTGCCTTGTGTTACTTTTCCACCGTCGCTGCTTTCTCCAGTCGGGTAGGTAGCTGCATTCTGAGCGGTAGCATGAGCCGCGGCGGAAGATTTGTTGCCAGCCCCTTTGCTATTCGCAGAGCCTGCTCCTCGAATGCATTGTGTTACTTTTCTACGATCGCTGCTTTGTCCAGTCGGGTAGGTATTCGCGTTGTGAGCAGTAGCATGAGCCACGGCGGAAGACTTGTTGCCAGCCCCACTGCTAGTCGCAGGGCCTGCTGCTTGACTGCCTTGTGTTAATTTTCCACCGTCGCTGCTTCGTCCAGTCGGGTAGATATTCGCGGTGTGAGCAGTAGAATGAGCCGCGGCGGAAGATTTGTTGCCATCCCCACTGCTAGTCGCAGAGCCTGCTCCTTGACTGCATTGTGTTACTTTTCCACCGTCGCTGCTTTGTCCAGTCGGATAGGTATTCGCGTTGTGAGCAGTAGCATAAGCCGCGGCGGAAGACTTGTTGCCAGCCCCACTGCTAGTCGCAGAGCCTGCTCTTTGACTGCCTTGTGTTACTTTTCCACCGTCGCTGCTTTGTCCAGTCGGGTAGGTATTCGTGTTGTGAGCAAGTAGCATGAGCCGCGGCGGAAGACTTGTTGCCAGCCCCACTGCTAGTCGCAAAGCCTGCTCCTTGACTGCCTTGTGTTATGTTATGCTTTTAAAGTCTCTCCATACCTACATAGTAAATAAATACATATTTAAGTAAGTAAATATAAGTTTATAAGCCATCAGTAGTTGGTAAATCTGGAAAATTCTTTTATAGAAACTGTTATCCACTGCTCAGACGACTTGACTGGAGGCTCGCAGGCTACTTTCTCGACTTTCAGCCCAATTTGAAATTGTCCTTGCCTTGAAGTTCGAAAACTTTTCTAGTAAACAAAAATGGCCCACTAGTTACGCGTGGTGTAATTGTACGCTTACGTCTAAAACATACGAGTATATAGAAGTAAATATTCAAAGTGTAAAAATTACATTGTCTCAAATAAAGTATTCAATAAACAACTATAGATTTGAAAATAGGTGTTGTAGGTTGTACTTACATAACGCTGCTGGAAACCGGACCTGCCTACCAACGCGTGCGTCACCGTCGCTGCTTTGTCCAGTCGGGTAGGTATTCGTGTTGTGAGCAGTAGCATGAGCCGCGGCGGAAGACTTGTTGCCAGCCCCACTGCTAGTCGCAAAGCCTGCTCCTTGACTGCCTTGTGTTACTTTTCCACCGTCGCTGCTTTGTCCAGTCGGGTAGGTATTCGCGTTGTGAGCAGTAGCATGAGCTGCGGCGGAAGATTTGTTGCCATTCCCACTGCTAGTCGCAGAGCCTGCTCCTCGACTGTCTAGTGTTACTTTTCCACCGTCGCTGCTTTGTCCAGTCGGGTTGGTATTCGAGGTGTGAGCGGTAGTATGAGCCGCCGCGGAAGATTTGTTGCCAGCCCCACTGCTATTCGCAGAGCCTGCTGCTTGACTGCCTTGTGTTACTTTTCCACCGTCGCTGCTTCGTCCAGTCGGGTAGGTATTCGCGGTGTGAGCAGTAGAATGAGCCGCGGCGGAAGATTTGTTGCCATCCCTACTGCTAGTCGCAGAGCCTGCTCCTTGACTGCCTTGTGTTACTTTTCCACCGTCGCTGCTTTGTCCAGTCGGGTAGGTATTCGCGGTGTGAGCAGTAGCATGAGCTGCGGCGGAAGAATTGATGCCAGCCCCACTGCTAGTCGCAGAGCCTGCTCCTCGACTGTCTTGTGTTACTTTTCCACCGTCGCTGATTTGTCCAGTCGGGTTGGTATTCGAGGTGTGAGCGGTAGTATGAGCCGCCGCGGAAGATTTGTTGCCAGCCCCTTTGCTATTCGCAGAGCCTGCTCCTCGACTGCATTGTATTACTTTTCTACGATCGCTGCTTTGTCCAGTCGGGTAGGTAGCCGTGTTGTGCGCGGTAGCATGAGCCGCGGCGGAAGATTTGTTTCCAGTCCCACTGCTATTCGCAGAGCCTTCTCCTTGACTGCCTTGTGTTACTTTTCCACCGTCGCTGCTTTGTCCAGTCGGGTAGGTATTCTCGGTGTGAGCAGTAGCATGAGCCGCGGCGGAAGATTTGTTGCCAGCCCCACTGCTATTCGCAGAGCCTGCTCCTCGACTGTCTTGTGTTACTTTTCCACCGTCACTGCTTTGTCCAGTAGCCGTGGAAGCACCTGTGGCGGCACCCGTGGTGGCACCTGATTGAAAATATTAGCAACATAATATCTTCGGCATTAATTATGCCATATTCGTTTTTGTAGGCTCTTACTTCCAAATTTTGTAAATTGACAGCATTATGCTGCTATTTTACGCTACTATTCTGTGAGAGCATGATAATTCCTCGAACGATATCACCCATGTTTTGTTTATCCTAGATTAAAAGGCTAATGAAGACAGATATAATTTATGTGATTTTCAATAAAATTACCTGGTTGATATGGCTTAGTTGGGGGGATCTGTACCCAGGTACCGAGATGTAGGTCGGAGCAGCAGTGGCTCAATAATCGGCGGGTAAAATGGAACCGGCAATAGTGGTAGAACACTTTCCAATCCGTCTGAAAAATTTAAAAATAGTTAGGCTTTAGATTTACTATGTTGCTATCGCTGAAGTAAAATGGACGAATAAATCCAGGTGGTGGAGAATTACACATAAATTATGCGTAATTTAAAATACGTATACCTTTTATTTTATATAAAGTGAGAAAGGAACTTGCAGTCCATTGGATGGTTAGCAGTTCACAACCTGAAATTTTACTGGCTCTCTATAATCTTCAGACCGGAACACTAGGACTGCTATTTGGCGACAGAAATATACAACATGTTACAATTACCCTGTGGTTCCCTTTAAGTGTTGTATCAGAAACAGTATTAAAAAGTATAAAAATATTTTTTTCCGGAAACTCGACCATTAAAAAATATAATTTTAATTTAGAAAAAGTTTATATGCAAATTGTACGTGGTTTTACTATCTCCACTGGCACGATTATCGGTAAAGCGTGGTCTTTGACAATTCTCTCACTCCTCGGACAATTACAGAGGTAATAAAACCACGTACAATTAGCATAAAAAACTTTTTTTGTATTAAAATCAAATTTTTAATGGTCGACTTTTTTGAAGTGAAGTTATTTCTATATGTTTGTATACTGATTTTGATAACGCACTTAACGGGAACCACAAGGTTTTTGTTAGACGTGGTATCAGAGGATGGTACAAACCCAGACAGATACGTAGACGAAAAGAGAGGCCTACCGCCTAGTGAATGAAATTTGGTTTACTCCAAGTGTAAAATGCCCAGACCGGCGATGGATAGTAGCATCAAAGGTGCTTACGCCTGGTGCAGCGTCCGTATCAGATGTGAGAAGGTACATCCTGTCAAGCCTGACAATCAATTTCCGGTGAATCATATCTAAACCAGAACAGGCTCATAAGCAGTAGTGCAGCAATTTACGAGCTGATGAAGAAGAATCTCCCCATATTAACCACCATTGCAATGATTGCCTTCTAAAAATTTCATAAATCCTTTGTAACGTATATAATAACTTAGATACTTACGTGGTCCGCGGGGGAAATCGGTTAGGAGCTAAAACAAAATAAAAATACTGTTAATGTCATCTTAATGCTATGAAATATAGATTTTCAGGTCGTAAAAAAGACCTGGGCAATGAAACTACATGACTAAAGCCTTTTTTTACAGAATAGGGGTGACAAACGGGCACACAGTCCAACGTATGGTAAGTGGATGCTGTGGCCCATGGACATATATATCTATCCTCGATTAAGAATCAAAATGGAGATGCGTTGCTACCTCTGAGGACTAAGATAGTTTGCCTCGCTACCAGTAAGAAGTATTTTCTGTTTTCATTAATCCTCATTTGAAACACAGCAGCAATATTAACGCAAAAACTGAACCGCGACAATAGAAATGTATTAATTGAATTAATCTTTCTATTGAATTAACTTAAACTCATACAGTTTTGATACAGAAAATACAATGTTTGGTCGTAGTATTAAAAGGGAGATCTCCCGCCGGTGAAGGTGTTCGGTCCGGGTAGCGGCCAACGCTCGACACGCGGAGCTGTTATGTACTGGATATTTTTTTTACAGTCTGAAAAAATAGGGTGTAACAGGTGAACGGAATAGAAGCCTATGGCACTGATATTTTACAATTTATTTTTAATTTTAAATTTACATGTTATAAAATCGTTCTATCAATAAATACTACTAATTTGAAATAAACTGTCGGTACTAAAAAATAACATCAAAAATTTTGAACTAAATAAATAAATCAATGAAAATCTAATGAAAATAAAATAATTTGCACGCTATTAGTAGTATTTACTGATAGATATTTAATGAGATGTTAATGTAAAAAGGAAAAGTTGTAAAATGTCTCCCAGTATACATGTACTTCAGAACTTTGATAGCGCGATGTAGACTTCGTTGCGTTTTCGCTTGTGGCGCGACGACAGCGCCGCCAGAAAAGGTACATAAAATACCAAAGATAAAAATAAATAATAGAATGCAAACATAAAATAATCTGATTGTAGGAGTGACGTGATGCTGAAAGTGGCACTAACTCAACATAATTCCGTCCCACGGTTGCGGTAGCGTTGGTTAACAGCATTGCCCATTGAGGTTGCACTCGCCTGCGATGGTGGTGTGTACGCTATAAGAATAACAATAATTTGCTCCAAACTGAATTTTGGTCACAGTGGCCAGTCTTAACGAATACTAGCGATCTGCGCAGGACGGAATCATATTGCCCCAGTGTATGCGCAAGCACAAGTGCACTCTCTATACTCTCACTCTGATAGTACGATGAGATGGTTATCCGACACGACAAGAGAGAGATCAGGTGCAGGAGTAACGGATTTACGTGCTTTCCGAGGCACGGGGGTGATATATCGCTAATTTCCTGACTCCGGGTGCTAAGCATGCTGCAAAAACCCTGGGACATTTTGGTCCGACTCGGGATTCGAACCCAGAACCTCGTGATCAGCAGTGCATTTACAACCGTTAGAAGTACGAGACAGTCACGTTACGTTATATTTCTACTGTCTCATATATCTATGTCGCGCGCTAATTGCTGAATTATTTTATACTCACGATAAGGTCTCTGATTGTAGTCTCTTCCAGGTAATCCTTGATTGTAGAATCCTCCAGGATATCCCTGATTGTAGAAAAGTCTACCATAATAGTTGTTTGGTGCGCCGAAGCCGTAGTCGTAGTATCGCTTGTTCGGCCTTACTTCATAGCCACTTGCGACGCTGTGTTTGTACGCACTGCTGTCTTCTTCCGACTTACTTTTCCTTTGAGAACTGTAATATTGGTTGCGATTTTTGTCTTGGATCGTCACTGAAAATAGACACAGGAATTAAAATATCACCATCATCACTACGTCCCATCTCGACTTCATAATTGATACAAGGCTTCCTCAATAGATTTCCACAAAGCACAGTCGAGTTCCGGCTTCGTGGCGCAGTGGCATTGAGTTGCAGTGCTGAGGGTCGCGGGTTTGAATTCCGCATGGAACAAGTACATATACACCTTACAAGTAACTGTTCCGGGTTTGCGTGTTTGTCCTTGTGTAATTTATCTATGTATAATAAGTATTGAGTAAGTGAGGGATAAATCGTTTTAAAAAAATCATCATAACTCATCTCGTCTAAATAATGATTTTTTTTATAGAGTAAGGGTGAAAACGAGCATACAGTCAATCTGATGGTGACTTCGGTGGCTGTGAACCGTAGACGTCTACATCTACCCTCGATTAAGAATCGAAACATTGCAAAGTATGAAACGTTGAAGCTGCAATATTTAAATATAGTAACAGCCACAGTAATACCTTATAGATATAGCTCATTTTGCTGTCATAATTATCGATCGAAGTACAAAGGACTAAGGAGGTTAGTAAAAATCGTCGCTGCTGGTGATAGGAGGGCTGCTTCTTTTCTCGCTCAAAGGCTAAGTATAGCCATTCAGCGAGGAAACGCAGCCAGCGTTCTTGCACAATACCAGGGGCAGCAAGACTTTATGACAATTTAGATTTTTAGTTTTAGTTTTTCTTAATACCGTTTTTTGAAGTGAAAACTTCTTTAGCATTGTTGTGATTTGAAACCGGATAATACTCGTACTATAAGAGATAAAAAACGTGAAAAATCTCTAATAATTGAGAAAATCTAAAAACATTTAACTAATTAATTGTTTTCTATCAAAGCTACGATTTAGTTGCGAATTAGTTAATTTTCGAGCGCAGTTAGTGACTTGTCTCTCAGTTCTAAATTATTTTGAAGATAATTAACTAGACTTAAGTAAAGTCGAACTTAATATTAAGTGTACAAAATATGTATTTTAAATACTACTTAACTAAATATTCGAAGCTTGTATGTTAAGTTTTGTCTTAAATATAACATGATTAAGTAATGAAACTATTGTAATAAATTCAATCAAGATTTATTGAAGCAATTATTCTAAAATATCAGCCGAAATCAACAAAATACTACTAGTGTTAAATAAAAACAAAAAGTGCAACAACCTCATGCACACAAACTGAAAAGTGATTGAACTAGTAGAACATAGTTATTAAAAAATAGATTTCAGTCGACTACTTCTTCTTCTCCCTCCTCAGTGACGTCTGGCTCCAAAATTCTCTCTACTACGTCTTTACTTTTTGGTAAAGACTGATACCACAAGTGGAGCTCTTGTGGAATTATTTCCTTTGCACATAAATTATTGAGGTCTTTCTTTTTTGCCTCTGAAATAGGCAGCGGCGAGGAGTAAATGGTGGCAATTTATAATTTTTCAATACTTGCATCAGTTTTTCTGGCCCTTGTCCCTCCGTTTGTTCTTCTAGTTTCCTCGTCTTTCTAGTAATAAATGTAGATTTTGTCGGACATTCTAAAATATTAAATTCTAGGTAGGGACCATCATGTTGATATCTAAACTTAACAAGACCCGGGCATTTTCTCTCGAAACGAAGACACTTAATTTTTAGCCATGTAATTTTATTGCCTTCTTTATCTCTGCTTGTATTTTTTGCTATTTTTTATTAAGAGCTCTTACATCAACCATTTCCGTGTATTTTAATTCTTTAACTGTATAAGGTGGTGCTGAATCGCCGTTTCTTTTAGAGCGAGCACGTTCCATGATCGACTTCCAGTCAATCATGGAATAAACAGGCGTATGTCTTTGCTCTCTTTCTATCGCACTATGCATGGAGTCCACTTCCATATGAGTGACCACTCTCTAAATATTTTTGCTCAATAACTTCCAGCTGCTCATCCATCCTTTGAATCAAATGAACCAAAAACGCCGTGATAAATTGGTTTCTATTTTACCCAGCGCACGTGTCGCTATACATGGTAATTTCTTTAATATTGGTTGGTAAGTGACTAATCCACCAGTTAATTACACTGGCACTACATTCACACTACCCCTTTTACCATTCATCTCATTCCAAGTTATACAAAATGCTTCATGAGGTGGTTTAGACGTGTGAATTGTATAATTCTGTACGTTTAATTTTCTGGTGTAATATGAAATACCAACACCACTGACTAGTATATGCAAAGTAGACTGCATGTCTGCCGTTACGACTAGGTAATTGTCATCAATATTAGACTGCTGTTTGTCCGATTCTTTCGCTTGCTGTGCTTAATTTTTTCTTGCAATATGTGAATCATATTCCTCCTTCAAATGTTCTGGTCGTCCGGCACTATCATAATGAGTGCATGTTATGTATAAGTCTTTTTTGGGGTAAAAAATGACAAATTGAATTTAGACCCAAATATTGTTTTATAGACGTAAAAACAACATGGTTCTTCATTTAATGTTGTTAGTTGCTCTTTATACAATTCGTACATTTTAGCGATTGTCAGTTTGCTCTCCAGGTACTGTCGCTTACTTTTCTTCCTGCAGTAGTGAGATTCGAGCCGGGGAAAAGAGTTTATGTGGTCAATGATCTTCTGTTCAGACTCTAAGCTGGTTTTGTTTACTGGGACTCGAGAACCACGCCCATCCTTCCCTGTATAGTTACCCAACTCATCTCTATATTTCAATGCTTCATTTACCGGTCCATTTGAAATGCTTAGAGTTTTTAGAAAAAAATCTTTGCAGACTCGTATTTTATTATCATTTTTATTAAAATAATAAGAATAGGTAGCAGTCCGGTTTTTTTAGCAGGGATATCAACTTTCATTGTTTTTATAGGCTAGGCCACCACTTTTTGAAGTAAAAATTGTTTTTGTGCATTAAAATTTGTAATTTTACAGTAGGCTTCACACATTTTTCGTCTTTCATCCTCAGAAAAATGATTTTGGCACTGATACCGGCATTTTACGTAGCACTATACGGGCTTAGGTTTCTTTGCAGGCATGAGATAGCCCTTTTTACCCAAATAAGGCAAACCTTTTTGTTTATTAGATTTAGCTATGTTTTTTTAGGATAGTCAGTAAGCTAGGATCGCTTTTTTCCAACGCGTAGGTTCAATATTATTGTCTGAAGTAACGATTGGAACTGGCTGTTTAGTTAATTCTTGATTGTCTACAGTGACATTACCAGATGAATCAGAGTTGGAAGATGGTAAAGTAGATTGTTGAGGCACGGCATATTGTTTATTTCTTGATTGAAAGTCATTGTTAATGTTTATATCCTGAAAACATTCATTAAAAAGCCCCCGACTATCTGCTGTCTTCGAGCGCGACGCAATAAATGTACTTTCTTCACTATCGCTCTCACTAGAAGATTTTTCAACATACACTCGTCTTTTCTTTTTGAAACATCTATTCTCTTCACTATCTGGAAACCATGAAACGCTCGAATCAGAAAACACTCGAACAGGAGAAGAACTCAACTCTTCGATACCGCTTATTTCTGAATGTGGACTTTCACGAGACTTTCTAATTTCGGTGTATTTTTGGTGTGTTTTTACATGATACATTTTCTTCTCTGATCAAATTCTCAACGGAAACAATTTCATGGTAGGTTTCAGCCAACAAAGGAGCGGAGTATGGTGGATTGATACTTGGTAGATCTCTTTTTGTACTTACTATTGACGCAGATAGTGGAGCAGATTCATATAGATTATTGTTTTGGAACAGATCAAATTTCCTCTGGTCGAGCAGCTTAGATTCCTGAAATAAACAATTAGGAGAACGTTAGGTATGATAAATAATGATACTATAAAAATAATAAAATAATGTCCACATGTTAGACTAAACAAACAAATGCCAAAAAGCATCCTTATAAATACAATAGGTACACCTAGTGACATAACCTAGCACCTCTATTAAGGGGTGCGAGAAAATAATAATTAATTAATAATTTCTGAAGCTACTTGAGTGTACTCATTTCTTTTAACTGAAGCATGAAGAAAAAACCACACAACAAGGCAAGTAATCCAAGATTCAAATAAATAGGTAATCAACACCCAAATAATACGTATCTCAATAATTACTTTCATCAAAGTCATCACTTCACGAAATTTATAGAGACAGCAGATTCCTATAAAATAACATTATTATAATATTTATGTATGTAAATAACGTACATTAATAAAAGTGAAACACTTTTAAAATACGATACACATCTAAAAGATACTTATAAACTAAATAAAAATATACTTAGCACACTTACCTCTTCGACAGTTTTTTCATTTTGATTCAATAAATCAATAATAAACTTAGCATTATTTAGCAGTTGTTTACGTAATTTTAACAACAACGAAAAACGTGTATACTTATGTCAGTCGACTTCGACTTCGAATAAATCGCCACACGCCGCGCTCGTCACTGTAGCCGCGACAAACTCACTAACTCGTGGGCGAAATGTACCTTATTTGTAGCAATGTACGTCGAAGTCGTATAAATAATAATTAAAAGACTTTAATTATTATTCGCAATAGATCTTATGTTCCATTTTTAAAGTAAAATAAAACATTATAACGGTTGATGATTTTTCGCTTTTGTAGTATCGTACAAATCATTTAAAAAAAAAGAGTGAATAGTCACTAAGTCGAGTTAGTTAATTATCGCTTTTGTGTGTTTTAGCAAACTACTGACTTTGAAAACTTACTAAATAATTTTAGTGACTTTTAGACTATCTAAAATCTTATGTACGGATTGATAATACAAGAAAAAAGTAATTAAGTCGTTTTAATTTCGGGTGATGTAAATTTTCGATAAATGTATAATAATTTACTAAATTAGTTATTTCTCCCATTACGCTTTGAGATCCAAAGGGTAGACTTACTTACTTTTCACATTTCGTAAAACAAAAGCGTGGGCAGCTACAAAAATGACGGTAAGACAGATATTTAGCGAACAAAATGTTGATTTTAGTGACATTGATAAGTCATTTTAGCCATTTTTAGACTTAATGACTTTTCGCTCTACGGGGACGATATTATTTATTTTATTTTCTTAAAATAAAAGCTAAAAACGTAAAGATATGTAAAGGCAAGCCAATGTTATAACGATTTTTATTTTCAAAAACTTTAACTCTCATTATCTCGAAACACGATTTTTCGACTTAATGACTTTTCGCTCTACGAGGACGATATAACGAAAAAGCAACAGTAAAAAGGACCAAACATACATATCTTTAGGATTTAGTCTGAGTTAGAATGAGATAGAATACAGTGTAGTAAGCAAAAGTAGCCTCATGGCTGGGTGCGGACCGCGAACTCAAAAGGTTGTGGGTTCGAATATGTCATTCGATTATTATTTTTAAGCTTATCTTTGTGGGGGATTGATAGTTAATATACATTTTAACTGTTAAAATAAACAGATAAAAATTAAAAAAAATTATTAAATAAATAAAATTAACCATATTGAATAAAATTATCTTATCGATCCCTTTATTACAGTCGACGATTTCGAAACTTATCGACTTTTATTAAATTATTCGTGTTTATATCATCTAACGCCTACCTTAAGTACCACTTTGACAGTTAATCAATTTTTTTAAGCTTTTTAAGCTATATGATAAATATTCTTTTATATTTAACATTCCAATTTTAAAGTAATTACAGTAAATACTCTGAGATTGCATTACAAAAAAATGTCACCCGTGAGGACTAAGATGGAATGCCTCGTTTCCAGTAAAAAGGGTACCCGGTTCTCAACACACACCATACGAAACACAGAAGCATTATGTTGAGCTGCTGTTCTGTGAGAGCGTGGTTATTTCTCGGTCGAGCCGACACATTTGTGCTACAACCATGATATAGTTGCAGCATGGCTCTACCACGTTGATTAGAACCCAGAACCCAATGATCAGTAGCTTGGCTTAGCAACAGATGCCGCGTGTCCGCCAACATCCGAATTTTGACATAGTACTTACCCGCATTTGATTCCTCGCTCGCTTTTTTAGACTTATCTGAAAATAGCAAGTGGTAAAATTATAAATTTTGTACAAGTGACTTCAATATAAATAAAATGAGAACATCCTCAATGTATCTAGTCGAAGTCAATTAAATACGCAATATTAAGGATAACTCACAAACAAATGGTCAGATTTTGATCAAATTTATATGAGATCACATGAGAAGCACCAGCTTTAAAAACATTATCATCAAAATCGGTTCACCTAGAAAAAAAGATCTTAGGTAACTCACATAAAAATATACTTGAATTGAAAATCTTCTCCTTTTGTTGAAGTCCGTAGATAGATAAAATTAGTTACAAGGTAAAGAAGGATCAGATAACTAATTAATGAGCTGGATCAGAGTGTCAACTATAATATATGTAGCTGCAACGTCCTTTACCACGTCAAAAAAGTACCATCAACACTCTCCGGTTTTTAGACACAATAGTAAGAAAATAGCAATGACTATAGCACGGAACAGCGAAATGGTTAAAAAAAGGCCACCATGAGCATAAGAGTACCATGTAGTGGTGGTGTTAGAATATCCACCACCCAATATCATCCCGTGGTTTCAAACCAGGAAATCGCAGCGTCTTCCTAATAACGACTAAAAAAAACTGCGATTGCCAACCCGCTTGTCAAGCGTGACAGCTGTGGTCAATATCCCCCTGTGAGGCAGTCTATGGGGGAGGCCTCTATACAGCTGTGGACTTTAATAAGTTATAACACTAGGTACTATTACAGTGTGTAATAGTGGAGATGGAATGTCCACTATTAACAGACTCCGAGTGGTTTTCTTTAAGGTGGAGAAATGAAACTACTGTTTATGTTTATGAATGTACTGTCGAATGGGATTCGGAATGGAATATCTTTTGCATCAACCTTGCCTATATTTATATGGCTGGCTCACTATTGATTTGCCAATGGTAACAATTAATATTTTGCCTAGCCAATTATATTGCTTATTTTATGACCAATGAAAACTATTTAAAATATACAATTATCTACGTTTCGTTTCCCGGCGTGAGACTTGTTTGTTGTTCACGAAGCTACGTCGCTGGACCGGGCTATATAAGACATGCAGATCGGTGCGCACGCGTAGTCGGCGGGCGGCGGCGGTGTGGAATACAGCTCCGGAACAGCAAGAGGAAACGAACTGCGGCGTTGAAGAAACGGCTCACCATTGGTCGACGGATACGTGACGATAGCGGCGTGTGAAGTCGGTGTGGCGCTGAATGATATTTGCGGCTGCTTCTTGTTTCTTTATAAGAACGTCAAATTATCTATATACAGTCCGCAGTATCTCAGTAGCCAAGAATAATTAGGAAATAAAATGTTTTTTTCATTTATTCTCGCCTTCCGCGTTATGGTAGCAGCGGAGTATATATTATTTATTCCCGTTTCGGTTTGATTAATCTGGCTGCTACACAGTGACTAACAACATGATTGAAAATAACCCCTGGAAGTGGGGGATCGCTACCATGCTGTTCCGAAATGTTTTCATACATAATTGTATAAAATATTGATTGTGTTTTTTTTTATAGGAGAGGTGGCAAACGAGCATACGGCTCTTGTGATGGTAAAGGTCTACCGACGCCCATGAACATCTGCAACACCGGGAGAATTGTGAATTAAATTATTTTTTTTGAAAAACTCCCCCTGGGTTTCTTGCTGGTTTTTTCCAGGACAGAGGTGTTTTCCGAACCAGGAGTAAAGCTTTAATTACTTTCATAAAATTTTTTTGTAATATTTATTGAATAAAAATGATTCCATTATATTCTATGTTAAGTTATTTTTGTAAGTAATTCACTTGATTTTTCCTCGTCGCTATAGTAGCGTTGAGATTCTGTAAAAAAATAATGGAGTTTAGAAAATAATTAAGCTTCAAACCAAAAGGATAAGAGGAGTTCAAAAAACTAAAAAGGATGAAATAATTTCCACATAATTTCCAAGCCTTTGATGTCTTGGCTTTAGTTTTATTAGTTAATGTATGTCCTCCAGTACGAATTTCGGTGACGGATCTGAGTAGGATAGGATTATAGTACCCGAGTGTATGCGCAACCTGGCGCAACCACAGGTGCACTTTCTATACCCTCACTCTCATGAGTGTAACGGTAACCCTACGCGATCGGAGAGATCAGGCGTGGGATAAACTGCTTTACGTGCTTTCCGAGACATGGGAGTCGAACACCGACAACTTTCTGACTACGGTCTTTTACTAAGTATTTACATACATACATAACATAAACACTCACGCCTGTCACCCAGAGGGGTAGGCAGAGACTACGGACTTCCATTTGGCACGATCCTGACATACCTCTTTCGCCTCCTTTACATCCATATATCTACGCATACATGCTCGTCGGTTAAGGGTACTTCTAACGTGGCCCCTTTTCAAAATATCGCCAATTTGGTCTATAAACTTTTTTCTAGGGCGTCCCTTCCCAACTCGGCCGTTCACATCTGCCATATAAATTTGCTTTGTCACTCTTTCCTCATTCATTCTTTCTACATGACCAAACCACCGAAGCATTCCTTTCTTAATCCTGGTCACAACATCATCTTGCATACCAC